CCAGTGGTAGGAAATGACATATTTCCTTACATTCCTTTCGGTCATTTCCTCGTCCATTTTACTTTGGTTTGGTCCGCATCTATTATGAAAAGGCTGCATCGTCTCAATATTTAGAGTGAGGCGGTGGAAGGCGAGAATGAAATATTGGAGCAGATGGACGAATCAGCACAGCTGCGAAAGGAGCTGGATGATAAGGAGTCGTTCATGAAGGATATCAGAAAGGCTGGAGAAGATATTCAATCGAAGTGTCATTCACTTGCCGAGCATCCAATGAAGTACTGGCTTGAAGTTGTGCAAACGCGATGGGACGAAGTATCGAATGCAGTAGATGGCAAAAGATGGGGAAGGTTGGAATTTTGTTCAGCTGTGGGAAACCCCATTATCAGTCAGAGGGGGAAAAGGCCATACGCTATTTTCATCAGTTTAAAGGCCAGTTTGAAGGTAAAAGTTGTTAAACGGCTCTGTTGAGTTCTTCATGCTTCTCCATTATCATGTTGCCAATAATCAAGCATGGATCAGCTGTCCTGAATAGGTAGGCTTATTGTTAGACTAACTTTTTTAGTCTTTTATGCGGTTCGTGAAATATGCCATAACCAAAAAGTGAGGCAGCCAGTCCCTCTACGAATTATTATTTTCGATAGTGATGATGGTCCTTTGAAAAAAATAGATATTCACAGTTGTTGTACTAGCGGGTGGTTGCTGATAACATGTATTACTAATTCGAGGGCTGCTTCCTGGTGTGTCCATACCCTACAGACAATGATTACGGGGGAAATGGTAGATCCCCCAGTGTATCATGCACATAAGCAGACTGCATTATAAGTTGATCCTGGAAGCGAAGGTGCGATGGAATTCAGAAAGAAAGAGTAGTGTAGGAGAAAAAGCAGGAGTAAATCTGATTTCGTCCGGTTCTTGTTAGACGACGTGTTGCTCCTCATACATATCCATTCGCTATCTTGTACAGATAATCCCCATATCCATATGCTATACTGGCTGCAACCTACACACAAAAGCGAGGCACTGAAACACGTACCACATGGCTCCAGTACTTGTATGCTGAAGTTTCTATGTTCGTTGATCTAAGAGGACAGTTGTTGCCGTGCGTACTGGAAAATTGAATAGCAATTTAATAATTTCTTCTCGATACTGTTTTAGCAACTGAACGAACTTCGTGTGCGCGAGAAAATAGTTGCTGATTTGCTGAAATACATAGCAGAGAAGAGTAATGAACTGAAGGTGCGCAACGAAACGCCGTTACCGCATGTCATGGGTTGATCCTGGAAGCGAAGGTGCGAATCTGGGGGACGGGATTTAGAGTATCAACACCGACTTGCATAGGGAACATCACTGTAAGATTTGAGCATTCTAGCGTTTCAAATTCCCG